TTCCCAAACTTGTCACATCAAAAGGATCACTCACAGCACAGAGATCGGGGATGCTGATTCCCAGGCCTTGCTCTTGGAGATCTGATTCTAAAGGTCTGGAGTGGCCCAGGCCCCAGGTGATCCTTTTTACTGAGGCCACATCTGGGCAACTCCTGGTCCCTGAATTTCCTATGTCTCGGGCCTTAAGCAGCTTCTCCCAACTATCTGGAGTTCTCAGCCTTGTCACTAAGTGGAACAAGAGAGAAGGAGGGTGACCAAGAGGAGGAAACGGTAAGCAACTCTCATTAGTATGCAGGGCCTTTCTCGTCACACTGCCTTTAATTGAAGCTGAAGGGCTGGCGCATCTCTCTGGGATTTTCCACTCTCCAGCCCTTCCGGAACTGGCTGCACACCAGCCTGCTGAGGGGCACAAGGACGGTGCAGGGGCACGGAGGCATCTGTCCACTGCTGTTGGAGGCCAACCATGATGATGTCTCTAAAACTAAAATGGAAACCAGGTTCTTTTATTTAGTCATTGCTACCTGCTTCACCCCTGCTGCTCCCCCCTAGCTCCCTCCTTTTACCTACCTGTGGACCCACCTGTGCAAGACTCTGTTATGCCAAGATGAGGAAAACCACTAAGGGGGAGAGTTCAATCTGTTTCTTAATTTTTAGCAAAGTAATCCTTGCACATAGTTCCCATGGTTAAAATGACATACAGTCATTCCCCCACCTTATCCGTGGTTTTGGGCATCCACTAGAGCTCTTCGAACGTGTTCCCTGAGGACAAGGGGGGTGGAGGATGGCTGTACATGATGAACCAAAGGACGGAATGAACATCATCTTTGTGGTACCCTCTGCCACGGCAATCACTTTGAACTCTTAGCTGGATGGTTATGATTTTAGATATGATAGATATGGTTTCTGACATTACCTACTGATTTCCTGCTACAACAGATGGAGACTAGCTCACTTATACCCTGTCTCTACCCTCCCCAAACAGTTAAGTTGTTCTTTTATGTTCCTTTGTGAGTTGACTTCGTAATTTCAAGTAATATACTACCATCTTTACTTGTTTTGGGCGTGGGGAATATACAAACAATAGTGACTATAAAGTACATATAACTATGGAGCAAACACTCATGTAACTACCATCCCAGTTAAGGAAATAGAATACTGTCAATACCTTTAAAGCTCCTCCCCACCCAGTGAAGCCACTCATCCTAACTTCTGTGCTAATTGTTCCCTTGCCTTTCCTTAGAGTTCTTCTCATCTTTATAGGCACTCCTCAGTATTTAGATTTGCTGTAAATAGAATCACAGTACACGTATTACGCTCTGCCTTGCACCCTTCCTTCAATATCAGTAAGCTAATCCAAGTCTGCAGGTGTAGCCGTGGTTTATTCACATTCATTGCCGTACACTCACCGTACACGTATACCATGATTTATTTATCCAGTCAGCTGTTGATGGACATTTTGGTTGTTTGCAGCTTTCTGCTATCATGAACATCTTAATTCACTCTCTCAGAACATGTGTGCAAGGGTTTCTCCAGGGAATGGATATAGAAGCGGAATTCCTGTATTGCAAGGAATGTGCACACTCACTTTTACTTGATAATGCCACTTTTCCAACGTGGTTGTACTAATGGACAGTCCCCACCTCCAGAGACTCTGACCTGATTGGCTAGGGCGGGTCTAGGCATCGACAATGTTCAAATCTCCCCCAGTGGTCCCATCATGAGGCTCCATGTCCACCTTTGTTTCCAGTCCATCAACTCTAGAAAGTATTTTGATTCTTCAGTTTAGAGGAGTGGTCCTAGCATCCCTTTCTGCTCTCCTCTCTCAAGATTTTTGTGTAATAATCTGAAAGAGGTAATAAGGGTTTTTCCCAGGCAAGTCAAAATGTGGGGTGGCGAAGAGAGATTATCAAGGCATGGACAGGAATTAGTTAAGATACTGGGACAAAGGTAGGGACGCCTGGGTGGGTGGCTTATTTGGTTGAGCCTCTGACTTCGGCCCAGGTCATTATCTTCCAGTTCGTGTGTTCAAGCCCCACATCAGACTCACTGCTGTCAGCACAGAGCCTGGTTCGAATCCTCTGTCTCTTTCTCCCTCTGCTCCTCTCCTGTTCGTGCTCTATTCTCAAAAATTTAAAAACAAAACAAACAAACAAACAAAAAAAAACAACTTAAAAAAAAAAGATACTGCTGGGGCACCTGGTGGCTCAGTTGGTTAAATATCAAGCTCTTCACTGAACTCACGGTTTGTGAGTTCAAGCCCCACATCAGGCTCTGCTTACAGAGCAGACCCTGCTTGGGGTTGTCTCTCCCTTTGCTTTTCTCTCCCTCTCTCAAAATAAATAAATAAACTCTAAAAAAAAAGATAATGTGACAAAGGTAAGCAGGCGAATTCCTCCTTCAGGCAGGTCTGAGAAACTACAGAAAATCCAAGGGCTGGGAATTCTTCACAGAAGCCAGTCCTTCCTTCTCTATGTAGCTATTAGGAGCCTCTAGTGTCTGGCAGTTATAGGCCATAGAGGTCATTCAATCTGCTTAAATTTTGAGACATTGAGGGGAATTCTAGATTCTTCTAAACTTCTGTGAGGGTCTTTATGGTCATGTTTTTTTAAAGGCATTCCAATCCCAGTTTGGGTTTCTCACCCCTGGCAACATATGGGAACTTTGAATAAATACTGGTGCCAGGGAGACCAATTACTTCAGGTCTGTGGTGAGACCCAGGCACTGATAGGCTTCTGAACTGGCCCAGGGGTGATTCTTAGACACAGTCAGGGTAAAGAACCACCCACAGTGGGTCAAACTGTAACTTGTATCCATCAGCATCCCCTGGGGGCTTATTAAAAGCCCAGATTGCTGGGCTCCACAGTTTCTGATTCTGTAGATCTGAGGTAGAGCTGTGGGTTTGCATTTCTAACAGGTTCCCAGTGATGCAAACGTTGCTAGTCCCCGAGAACCACGCCTAGAGCACCATCTTGCTCCCGAGGTTTCCCTGTATACCTGCTTGTAGGGACCCAGAGCAGCCATGTACTGTAGGTGGTCAGGCTGGTAGCTTCAAATCGACTATTGAAATTAGCAAATACTACAAGTCAGGACTCTGCCATCCCCACTTAGTTGCTAAACATTCATATCTGGATCCCATCGTGGATCAGCAGGATAGTGGGAAAGCGCCTTCAGGGGTGTAGCGCATCCTTGGCTATGCAGGATCACTGTCATCAGTAGGGTCTAGATGCACATGGGGTGTTCACGGTGGTTACCTGTAAATCTTCCATGTGTGTGGAACAAAAAATGTGTATGTGTAGAAAACAATTCTTTGAATTTTCCAGTGACCACAGGTTCCAAGTATTAAAAATACTTTTTCTGGTTTGAGTTTTAATACGATCATTAGTAGTTCACAAAGCCAAATAAATACATTACAATTCTTGTAGTTATTAAACATAGAAAAGGAGACTCTGTTGGACAAATTGCCTCCTTGTGTGACACCTGGTGATTTTGTACACACTTGGCAATGCCAGGACAGGGAGAGGCAGGAAAGGGGGTCAGTATAAATCCCACAACCGCGAGTCCATGGTTGGAAGCTGCAGATTTGGAGGCTGACTTTCTCTGAATAAACCGTGACCAAGTACCCTTAGAAAGTCTGTGTGTAGCTCCAGCTTGAAGACTGGGCTAGCCTGGGCTGCCGAAAGCATTCACCCCACTTCCAACAGGAAATAACTGTGTTGCACGTGATGGTGTCCATACCTCACTCTGTGCTTGGGCCTTCTTGGATCAAAACATCTGCCTTACATGGTAACAAGCCCCAACACTCTTTCTGCTAGGACACTGCCCTCCACATGTTACCAGAGCTCACGACCTTGTTCAGAAGAACCTTCGGACATTAATGTCCAGGACAAGCACTTGGACATTTAGAAGCAAAGACTTATTAAAAATGAGAGGGTCTTTCTGAAAGGATTCCATATCCTCCCCCCACCCAACCCCCAGGGGACTGAGTTTCCCTGTTTTTCCAGGGGAGGGGCTTGTACCTACTGGGACAAGTAGTGCCATCCTGTGTTCTGTGAACTTTCCTGTTTGGCCGATGCCGGAAATCCCCCAGATCACATTCTTTTCCAGACCGTGAAAGACTAGAAAAGATTCTCTTCTGACCTTGTATTCACCCCAGTGTAATCCTGGGTTTTTAATTTGGGGCAGGTGGGGGGAGCAAGGTGAGTGGTGACAGACTGGGCTGAGTCAAGAGCCTGGAATCTGTCATCATCTTTAGTAAAACTTCCTTTCTTCAGTCCCCCCCGACCTGAAAAGCACCCCTTTGACCTTCTACTGAACTAAATTAAGAATGGCCATGATGGACTTTGAAAGCATTATGCTAAGTGAAATAAGTCAGATAAAGACAAATACTGTATGATCTCATTTATATGTGGAATCTTTAAAATCCCAAACAAACAAAAAAGGAACAAACTCACAGGAAAAGAGATCAGACTTGTGGTTACCAGGGACAATACAAACCTCCAGTTAAAGGGTAAATCAGAACTAGGGATGTAAATGTACACATGATGACTATAGGTAACACTGCTGTGTCGTTAAGAGAGTAGATCCCAAGAATTCCATCGCAAGAATTTTTTTTCGTTTTTTTTTTCTTTTCTATTTATGGAGGACAGATGTTAACTGAACCAACTGAGGTAACCATTTCACCATCTATGTAAATCAAATCCTCATGCTGTATGCCTTCAACTTATACAGTGGTATATGTCAATTCTTTTTCAATATAACCGGGGGAAGAAAGAATGGCCATGAACATTGCATGGTTTTGAAACTTCAGGTTCTGTCCCTGGAGCACAATGGCCCTGTGTCCTTCCCCAGTGGACGGTGGCCCCGTGGTGCCAGAATCATAGCAGGTGCTCAGTGGGTTTTGGTGTCATTGACTCCACACATCAAAGTTTGCCGTTTTCAAAGTGACAAGTCTGTCTAGATTATGCAAATCGATCCTGACTTTCTCTTTCATTTCTTTGCAGTGAAATGCAAAATGGAGGATGAGGAGAAGGCGTGAGCTAAGACTCTACCACCTTGTTAGCCACTGGTGGGATCTTTTCCCTTCGGAGCCTCAGTGACCCTCTGTGAGGAAAATGTATGAGTTATGCTTCCCCTCTGTTAGCTTTCTTAACGACCACATTTGGTACATGTGAATACAGAATCTTTTCTGCAGAAGATAGCATTTGTGGCACACATGCTTTAGTGCATATAGTTTATCCTATGAGAATACTGATCTTAACTTTCTGCAATATCGCCAATTTTATTCTTTTATCCGTATTATTTCTTCAATGTTTCAGGTGTATTCTTCTGCACCAGCCACCACTAAAACAGTACAATGAACTCTGGTTCCAAGAGATGTTGAAGTGCTTTAGTTACCAGTTTCCCACTCTGGGCTGCCTTTGCAAAAATCGCTATTTAAATTTAAGTCCCAAAGCTCTTGTAGTGGGTTCTAAGTTGATCTGGTTTTAAGTTATTCATTTCATAAAAAAGGCATACTGCCCTTCAATCATTTCCAAAGGAGACTGACTCTGAACTCTGATTGTAGATCCAACAAGGTGAGACACTTAAAGCCAGACAACAGTAACAAAAGATGTTTGTTGTCAAGTCCCCAAAATATTTTAGGAAAGTTCTTCATTTGATGGGTAAGCTAACGTACTACCCTCATTTGTTCTGGGGTTTGCTGTTAACCAGGATTCCAGGATTCCCCCATTCAAAAGGCCATAGTTAGCCTCTAGGCAGATCCAAAAGAAAGCCTAGTGATTCTACTGAGTTGTTTTGACAAGCTACCACACATCTTAAGTAAATAGTAAAGCCTTTATTTTTGTGTTAAGAACAGCATTTTGAAAATAAAACCTATCTGCCCATGCTTTACAACCTTTAAGTTTGTAATATTTATATACAGTCATTTATGGTACACATTGATTGTCTTGAAATTTCTTTAACGATTTTTTTTTTAATAAGTATGCAACAGTCAGCCAGGGGAGGATAAAGGTACATTATAAAACACACATTAATACATTTAATAAATATATATTATCTATCAAAATCGAGCCATAGCTCTTTATCAATTAATAAAAAGCACCTGCTGAGAACTCCTGTAAGCTGGTATAATCATTGCATCATTGGATTATAAAAGCCACAACGCTCCCTTTCGGTTTGGGGTTTAACTCAGCATTGGCCAACCTAGATCACCCCGAGCTGACACCCCTTCAGTGGGCCCTGACACAGTCTGCGCTCAAAGCACTGGATCCCCAGAACTTCCCCATCTGTCAGTTCTCTGCACGGATTCCCTCACTCCCCACCCTCCATATCAAGTGGAGAAATCCAGGATAGAATGACCATTTTCTATTAAAAAGGGTGACAAAAGTGGCTGTTATAGTCCCAAAGTGATTTTAATAACCGGACACAGAAAGACTTGTGCTTACAATTAGGTATTTTGATCACAGATGCTCTCCTTCCAGGTTATTTTCCCTCAACAAGTGTTGTTTACATAAACAGATCTTAAACAGAGGTGCTGTTTGATTTCATATTTAAACTTTGCTCCATGGGGGCAACTGGTGGCCACAGTCTCTTGAAGAAGTCTCTCTGTACCCTTCAGGTGGAGTCAATAGAAAAGACGGATACCCATCCTCTGCTCTCTGCCCTCACTCCCTGTCTCTGCCCCGTTGGGAGGGCATCCAGCCCACTCTCAACCTTGAAGCTAAAATAAGACAAAACCCAGAAGCGCAATAACGTATCAGAGATTTAAAAAGAAAGGAGGGAAAAACAAGTCTTATCAAGTGAGGTTTCCGGTGGCTCAAAGCTGGTTCCATTTTCATGTTGGTGAAACATTACTTTCCCCTTGTAGCCATCGGTGCTGCGCTCACCTTATACGCCTGGACCACCAAGAACTGAGAGGGGAAACGCTCAAGTGAATTGCTCCCTTCTGCAAGGGAGGGGGGGGCTCTTGCAGACGGAATCACTGATGGGATCAGAGAGCTCCAAAGGACTCCAGAGAGCGGGGGTAAGCAACCATTTCCTGGCACAAGAATGTGTAATGCTGTCGTTTTTCACCGGACTGGACCGAGGTGTTTGGAGATTTCTGTATTCTCAGAATCCTGGGAACGCATGCAACCGCCCCCATCCCCACCCCAGGTCCTAGCTTCTTTCCCTCCCTCCCCTCCCCAGTACTGCAGGTTTCCAGTCCTCCAGTGATGCTCCTCTGAGAGAGGATTGGAATCTGATTCTCTAGAAGCAAGCACATGCTCTGGGCTGGGGTGGGGCTGTTTCCCAAAGGTCAGGTATGGGTGGCATTCTGGTGCCGTGCTTTTCCTTCCCAATGCATGGCAACTCAAGGAAGTGTGCTAGCCGGAAGGAAAACTCGAGGTTGGCCGCATAGGAGAGGCCAAATTGGCCTTGTTTACCCCATTGCTCTGCAAGGTTGCATGGGGGAGGGGGACTTGGCAAGGACGGGACACAGCAGAGACTAGGGCCTTGAGAAAAATCAGGTTTATTAAAACAGCTCAGACATAGTGGCTTATGAAGAGGTCAGTTCCCCCCCACCCCCAACACTAACCTTTTTCATTTTCTTTAAAGGTTAAAGGCTTATGGGTTGTTTTATAGAAAAAGCAACATAGTCATTAGCATAGATGTCAAAGGGCTCACCCTCACTTATACATTTCATGCCATCAGGTTAAAACTGTTTGCTTTGAATCACTGCTAGTGATTATGCTGGCCAAACAGTGCAGAGAACATGGGGCTTTTTAATGACCTAGATGCTCGAAATGCCAAATAACAAAGGAATGAGTTGCTTAGGACAGATGGAAACCATGACAGAAACAATGGGCTTTAAAGAGAATCACTTTCATGAAACTTACAGAAAACCAAGTCAGAAATGTCCCGCACACCCTCCAAAGGCAGCAAGAGCCCCATCCAGTGCTCCACCCCTCCCTGGAACTTGCACTCTGTCAACGTATAAGATGGGAGAACTCACTGCACGCTAGGCAGCAGGGTGTCCTCTCTCCCCTCGGATGCCTGGCCACACGACATCATCACGGAAAATCTGCTGTGGCACTTGCCTTCTGGCCTGGCAGCCCAGGGGCTGGAAGCTGATGGTCCATCTGAGCTTTTGAAATGAGCATGGGAATAAAAGCCTGGGAAAGGGCTTGGGTGGTGGGGAGGTGCTGGCGGTGGGGGGGACTACTGCCCCAAGCCCGAATATGGCTACGGCTCCACCAAGGAGGGAGGTGGGCTTGTTTTCCGCCCCGGCCGTAGACCTGGAGCAAGAAGCCCATAGAGGCCATGGTGGTGGGTCACCACTTTCTAAATGTGATGGTCACTTCAACTCCCAGATAGCCTTCTCTGTGTTGGCACATGCCAGGGTCCCTCCACCACAACTGGTTGGAAAGCTCACCCCGTGATTCGGTCGGGCCTCACCTTGGAATCACACCCACAACTCCTTAACTGCTCCTGACCCCCTGAAACGTGCAAACCAACAGGCAAGCTGGTGGGAAAGTCCCCATTAGTCCTCTCAACGCAAGAGTCATCTCCAAGAGGCCACCTGGGGCCCAGCACTCGCTGGGGAGGGCGATGGTGTGGGGGGGCCGCCGCGACTAACCCACACCAGCCTGGCCCACTGGCTGTGAATCTGGTTCTGTTCTACCCCCAGAGGATGAAACAGTCTGCCCAGCCACATTTTCGAGTGAGCCTAATACTATTTGCAATTAGCTTTGCTTTAGTTTGCAGGGATTGAGGTTGGTTTGGTATTACGTGTTTGTGTGTGTGTGGCAGGGGGCGAGAGGGCAGTCAGTGTTAGCTTTTCAGTTCAGCAGTGTTCACATTTACACGAAACCCCCTTGCGCAGGATTTCTACATCTCCTGGCTGTGAGGCAGCCTTGTCTGGCTACTGCTACTGATTTCTCCCTCAAGAAAGACACAGCCAGGGAATAAAATTGGTAAGAGAGATTCTTATTCTCTGGAACTTAAAAGTCTTTCACCAGAGGTGTCTTCCAGTGTAACTTGGCGGAGCAGTTGGGATCTGGAAACAAGGATAACACAACTAAGAACTCTGTGCTTTGCAAAGTCAACATCAAAACCAGTTTGTTAACAATGTGCCAAAGAGAATTTCCCTTGCTTTCTCCTAATGGGCTGAGTAATTCCCAAGAAAAGCAGCAAGCACTGAGTGTTATATTGCTCTGTTCTTGGGAAGGCCATGTCCCTTTTTCTGTAATCACGCACCCCAAATGGAGGTTTCTCTACCGAGAAACCCACTTCTCTTTCTAAGTCTAGGGTGTTTTTATACACACTGGTCTTAAAGAGACCAGGAGGGCTTAAGAGTGACTGATGGGGCCATTTTCTGACCATATTTATCATAACACACAGGCCAAATGCTTTCGAGTCAGGCTTTTCTTGGCATCCAATAATAAAACAGCCCAATGGATGGCAGGGGGTTTTCAGAAAGCAAATCTGTGAGTCTGTCTGTCTTTGAGCCTATTCCAAACCAGTGCAAACCAATGCCTCACATACCATTCAAAAGGCCAGGAAAACCCAAATTCCCTCTGGAGATCAAAGACCATCCCTGACTTACATTTAAAAAAAAAAAGAAAGAAAGATAGAAAAAGATAAAAAAAAAAAAAAGCTCAGGTTGAGTTATGGAATTGGCACATGATATAAAGAATGGAAATCCAATTTACATGTGTAAACTGGCTTATGCGTTGTTTCTGAAAGAAGCATGTAGCTATGTTTGGAAATTAAATGTGGGAATGACAGTGTGTCTTTGGATTGCTGGAGAAACAAAATGATGTAATTCCACGGAGGCAAGATGTAAACAATGACATTCTGCTGAAGGTCTGTTTGGCATCAGATAGTAAAACCTATTTTTGGGCTCGCAGGTGAGAAATGATAATCACTCCAATTTCTGAAGATATCTTTAAAGGAGTGGAGGTAGGGAAACCCAGTGCCCAGCTGGGGCACAGAGACAGGGGGGTTGGGGTGGGTACACTAGGTTGGATGTCAGCAAAATCCGCTAGGGTTTCACAACTATGGGCTTTTCCAGGGGAGAAAGGGGCACCTTGTGCATAATGAAAGCCAGAGAATTCCTTCGGTATAAGAGACCCAAGAAACAGGGACTTTTTAAAATGAATCCACAGACAGGTAACTAAGTATAGGTGGGTCTTCCGTGCGTGGAGAAAGGGGGTAGAGAGGGAAAGAACAATGGAAGCATTGCATGCATTCTAGCTGCAAGGGGCATCAACTTGAGCCAGTATGTTTGCAGGGCCCGTAAGCAGCCTCCACAGAGCAGTGTGTCCCGTGAAACTGCCCCCCAACACTGACTGCTCTTTAGGCTTCTGGCCAAAACATCACCTCTTGATACTTACAGTCCCTCCATTGAGCACAACAGCCATCTCGGTCGGCTGATATACGTTGCTTCTAAACGGAGCGCTGGGTCTGTTTCCCAAGCTGCCATTGCGAAATCCTGCAGTTCGGAGAGCTGAGGGAGGCGGGAAGCAGCAATACAACACCAAAAAAAAAAAAAACCCCACAATTTTGTTTTCTTCTCCTGCATCAACACCGTGCTCCCAGCAGCCCCCCCCCCTCCTCCCCATTGTCACAAGCCAGATTCAAAACAAAAGTCACAAAGGGGCTTTGTTCTCTGGCTCTCTTGGAGCATGACCCATCTCAGTGGGGTTGGGAAGTTTGTAGAATCCAGGGTCAGGCTGCTGGGGTGGGGGCAGGGTTTTGAGCCTCTACCAGAGCCACCCCCCACCACACCCCCCCAGCCTCTGCAGGCCATGAGTGACAAGGAAGCACCTCTGCATCCTTCAAAGGTTTCCTCTCTCCCCACAAAACATCATTCATGTCAAGTTCAACATCACACCGGTCAACCCTGTTGACTGTTTCTGAATATACACAGGCGGACAACCCTAAGAACGTGGACACTGGGTACACAGTAGAGGTTGTCTTCATGGGAAAGTGACAGGGAAGGGAACAGAAGGACTCCCAAGGACCCGGGTAGGGTATTTCTAATCAGGAAAAAAGGGAGGGTGGTAGCAAAGAGGGCGGAATATGTCAGCACTTTTTAACCTCAGAAAGGTGGGGAAATGGTGTTTCTTATACGCTGTGTGCTAGTAGAGATCTAAATTTCCTTTTTTTTTTTTTGGAAAGAAAGCCTCAATTACACAAAGAGACCCGGAGGGAACAGATGCCTATTGCTAAGTGGAAGCAGCCAGTCTGTAAAAGCTGCATACTGTGTAATTCCAACTCGGATATTCTGCTAAAGGCAACACTATAGAGACAATGAGAAGACTAATGATTGCCAGGGGCGTGGAAGATGGGGGGGGGGGGCAGGGAGGAACAGGTGGAGCACAAGGCATTTTTAGGGCTGGGAAACCGTTCTTTCTGATACTATAATGGTACATAGATGAGATTACCCGTTGGTCCAAATCTATAGAACTGCACAAACAAAAGATTAAGCTCTAAAATGTAAGTGGTGGACTTTAGTTAATAATAACGCATCAATTTTGATTCATCAACTGCAACAAATGTACCACTAATGCAGGCTGTTAATAATAGGGGCATGTGGGATCTCCTGCTCAATTTTTCTGTGAAACTGCGATTGCTCTAAAAAATAATGTCTTAAAAACTAATGAAGAAGGTAGAGGCACTATAAAAACAAAAGTCCATCTCAGGGGTGACACAGCATTGTCATTCTTTTCATTCTCCTTGAAGGCACTAACTTTGCTTTGCTAGGAAAAGCCTTACTTCAGAGTCTTCCCTGAAGCGAGTCACTTTTCTGGCTGAAAAGTAGCAAGAGAACTTGGGGTTTTTACACATTAGTTGAGGCAGGGACCAAAACCACCTCACCAATGTGGTGAACCTTCACAGACTGCCAGCCAGGAGCCAGGCACTGTGTAAAGTACTTTATATATTAATTTATTTAATTTTCATAGCATAATAGATACTTATGTCCACTTTACATGGGGCACAGAGAAATTAAGTTACTAGCCCAAGGTCACACAGTTGGAAAGAGGCTAAACCAGCATTCAAACTACGCAGGGAATCTTTTTTTGTTTTTTGTTTTAAGTTCATTTATTTTTGAGAGAGACAGAGACAGTGTGAGGAGGGGAGGGACAGAGAGAGGAAGACAGAGAGAATCCCAAACAGAGCAACCAAGAGTCAGACGCTCATTTCCAGGTTGAGGCACCTAGGTGGCTCAGTCAGTTAAGTGTCCAGCTCTTGGTTTCGGCTCAAGTCATGATCTCACGGTTTGAGGGATGGAGTCCTATGCAGGGCACTGCACTGACAGCACAGAGCCTGCTTGGAATTCTCTCCCTCCCCCTCTCTCTCTGCTCCTCCCCTGCTCTCTCTCAAAATAAATAAACTTAAAAAAAAAATTGGATGCTTAACTGACTGCGCCACCCAGGCCCCCCGGGAATCTGCGTTCTTAACACCATACTGGCTCCAAATGCTGTTTTTAACCATCACACTCAGTTACTTGGAAGCAATTTTTTTAAGAGGGAGAGAAAGAGAAAGAAAGAACATGAGCTAGAGAAAGTGGAAGAGGCAGGGAGGGGAGAGGGGGAGAGAGAGATAGAGGGAGAGACGGAGAGACAGACAGACATAGAGAGACAGAATCTTAAGCAGGTTCCATGCTCAGCACAGAGCCTGACATGGAGCTGGATCCCACAACCTTGGGATCATGACCCGAGTGGAAAGCAAGAGTCAGATACTCAACTGAATGAGCCACCCAGGCATCCCATAAGCAACCTGAACTTAAGTGACATGGGGGAAGGGCAGCTCAGCCCAAGCTACACCAAAGAAACTGAGGTTGAACAAATGTTCTTAGACATCGGTACAGTTTTTGCTTTAGCGTCTCCCTCCACACTTCAAGCAGCTCATTAGATACCTTTCCCAGGGAGCAGAGAAGGGGGAGCAGGGAGCAGCATCAGGGGCCAGAGGAGATAGTTCATGGCCTCATACTAGTCTCCTAACTGATGCCTGCTGGAAGAGAGGGAACATGAACAGTACAGATCTCCTGATAATGCAGATACCCGGCCAGCTGTGGTGGGAGAATCTGGCCCCAACACATTTTCCTCCAAGAAACAAAGGCTCGACTCTACTGGCCATCTGTGGGGTGCCTTGGCCCAAGGGCCCCTCTCTGTAGTGGTTATTTGTGGTTCTCCTCTGGTAAACATCTCTCCCATATTCTAGCCCACTGCGTGTTGGCTACGACTGCCTTCTACCCTGGCCTGAGGTTGACATTTCAACCTGACCAATCAGGGCATCACATCTCCTCAGCCACACTCCTTGGCTCAGGGAACGACAATCAGTTCCAATCAAAGCTAACTCTGGGATTTTTGCTCAAGCATCCTGGGGGGCATGGTCCTCTTTTCCACTGGGACTCTGTGCAAGCCTAGAGTTTTGGGCTGCCATGATGCTAACAGGGCCAAAAGATGGAGAAAGACCAACTGTAGTCATCACTCGCGCCTCCTTGATCTAATGATACCTGGAGGCTGATTTCCAGTACATTAGTGTTTTGTTGTTGTTATTTTGTTTTGTTTTTGCTTAAGCCAATTCAAATCAGTTTTATTACTTGCAACGTCAAGTGCCCCAACTAACACTCCACTTTGACCTTGGGTCAGCTGTGAAAGGCAAGCAGGGCTCATCCATAAAAGTGTCCCCACAGGAATCTAAGTTTACAGGCTGAATCCCAGTCTTCTCTTACCCAGACGCTTAAAGTGAGGCTAGATTGGTCCTCCCTCAAAGCTGATTCAGGACCTTCTACCAGGAAGCTAAAGTCAGAGTTTAAATCACCCTTTATCCTAATGAGATCTGAGAGCCCAAATCCCCTAAAAAGAGCCCTTTCTTTATTGCTCCTTTGAAAGGTGAACATTTAATATGCCTTGTTAACACTTTCCCAGATGTGATCTGAGGTGCTACATCCTTCACTGCATTTTAATCTTTTATCACATACCTCATGCCTTGTTGATACTTATTAACAAGTGGGAGGCTGATGAAGTGGTATTTGCCTGGGGTCTCATTCTGGGGATGGAAATATGGCAGCAGAGGGCACTGGGGCTTGACTCTCAAGGAAGGAGAGCCCAAAAGACTGGCTGGCTAAAATGCAAAAGAAACAGGGCCAACCATAGCTCCTGGGCAAGGCCGTTTGTGGGGGATGGTTCCTGAAAATACAAGCTGGCTGAGGTCAGCACTAAAGACGACAACAGCTGTTCTCACGGAGACAAGGAGGCATGCCCAGATGTTCCCAGCCAGCAAAGCAAGGGTCTCTAGAACAAAGGCAATCCTAGTCAGGACTCCAATTTAGTCTATATGAGCTTTGCCTGGGGTCCCCCCGCCTGGTCCCATTGGTCCCAGGTGAATTCTGGTGGAAGCATATTTGGGATGATCCAAAACAGGGCTATTAAAACTATGTCTGATAACATCCAAGGTTGGGGAAGAAATGAGGAAACGAGAATGGGGCTCTCAAAGAGTTATTAAGCCGGGGGAGGGGGGAGACAGTAAATCAGTTTAACTTCTGGGGAACCATCTGGCAATATATATCAAGATTTAAAGGTGTAGACTCTTTTAAGAATGTCTAGGAATTTTTAAAAAATTTTTTAGGGGCGCCTGGGTGGCTTAGTCAGTTAAGCGTCCGACTTTTGCTTAGGTCATGACTCGCGGTTCGTGGGTTCGAGCCCCGCGTCGGGCTCTGTGCTGACTGTCAGCTCAGAGCCTGGAGCCTGTTTCAGTCTGTGGCTCCCTCTCTCTCTGACCCTCCCCTGCTCACGCTGTCTCTCTCTCTCTCCTAGAAATTAAAAAAAAAAAAATTAAAAAAAAATTTTTTTTTAAATGTTTTATTTATTTCTGAGAAGGAGAGAAACAGCATGAGCAGGGGAGGGTCAGAGAGAGAGGGAGATACAGAATTTGAAGCAGGCTCCAGGCTCTGAGCTGGCTATCAGCACAGAGGCCAACACGGGGCTCGAACCCACGAAGCATGAGATCATGACCTGAGCCGAAGTTGGACGCTTAACTGACTGAGCCACCCAGGCGGCCCTAGGAATTTTTCTTTTAAGAAGTTAATTGGTCAAGGGCACAGAGATGAATGTTCACTATAGCACTGCTTATATGGAAAGCCAGAAACAAGTGGAATTTGCACCAGCTGAGGATCAGAAAAAGGATGGAAAGCTCAACATCATGAAAAGGATTCTATAGCTCTCCAGTCACTGGCCTGGAAGGGCCTCCGTCCATGATACAATGCTGATTTAAGCAAGCACACTGCACAACACTGCATACATTGGTGGCTACATCTGCGAATCACTGGGAGAGTTTAAAAAACCTAAGCCCAGGGGCAGCTGGGTAGCTCAGTTGGTTAAGTCTGACTTTGGCTCAGGCCATGATCTCATGGTTCATAGGTTCGAGCCCTGCATCGGGCTCTGTGCTGACAGCCAGCTCAGAGCCTGGTGCCTGTTTCGGACTCTGTGTCTCCCTCTCTCTCTGACCCTCCCCTGCTCACACTGTCTCTATCACTCTCTCAAAAATAAATAAAACACTAAAAAAATTTAAAAACAAAAAAACCCCCTAAACCTAAACAGACTTATCCAGTCAGAACAAGGGGGCAGGCACTGGTCATTTTTTTGAGCTGTCCAAGTGATTCTAATGTAGAGCTAGGTTAAGAACTGCTCTATGGCCTTGTGTGTGTGTGTGTGTGTGTGTGTGTGTGTGTGTGTGTGCGTGTGTGTGTGTGTGTGTGTGTGTGTGTGTGAAAGAGAGTGGGAGAGAGAGAGACTATGTGTGCTCACTGAGCAATGTCTGGCAAGATGGGAGCAAAGAGCAGCAGCTGCCTTTGGGCAATGGGACTTTGAACAATTTTTGTTATTTTTACTTACTGAAACTTCTACGTAATTATTATTTTTTGTCACTGAAAGGGAATAATATAGGTGTTTTGTTTTGGAAAAGAAGGGATAGAAAGACAAGTTACTTGACTTTAGAATGTGTCAGAGAGTGAAATAGAGGGGAGTGTGACCATACCCCTAGGCCCCCCATCACCCAGAGTACCAGCCATGATACTGCTGGTACCACCCTGGGTCCCAGAACCTTTGTCCCTGGATCTTATGTACATATGAAGTACTGGCTGCATTTTCACAAGAAAAGATGCATATAGTAGAAAACCAACATGCCCCCTCTTCCCTGCTGTGACAGTGTGAGCTTGGACAAGTTACCTGTTACCCCTGGAACTCAGTTTCCTTCTCTATAAAATTAGACTGATAAACCCTGTCTCCTCAAGGCACAAAGTCCTGGCACATCTGTGACATAAGGGCCACTCAAATGCTTTGATAAGAGAGGAGTATTCTATTTTTTTAATATTTATTATTTGTTTGTTTTAAGAGAGCAAGTGTGAGTGGGGGAGGAGCAGAGGGAAAGACAGAATCTTAATCAGGCTCCATGCTCAGCACAGCTTGACATGGGGCTCAATGATTTCATGACTGTGAGATCATGGCCTGAATTGACTTAAGAGTCTGATGCTTAACCATCTGAGGCACTGAGGTGCCCCAAGGGATGAGTAATTCTGTGGTAAACTAATCAAGCATGTGGACTCTGGATCCAGCTTGTGTGGGCTCAAACCTGGCTCTGCCTCTTAAGCAAGATGTATAGCCTTTCTGTGCCTCAGTTTCCTATCTGCAAAATGGACCTCAATGAGTTATTGTAGGGATTAAATGAGATTAGCCACTATTAAATGCTCAGGATGGTCCTTGGTCCATGGCAAACACCAACTAAGGTTAAATATTCTTACTTTTGAAGACCCCAATACTTGGGTAGTTCTAGCATCTCCATTTATTGCAAGTAAACTAGACTATCAGGTTCAATAACACTAAATCTTAACCTTCTGGGCTTCACAGACAGCTTTGAGAATCTGACAAGGTTACAGACAAAATTACCCCAATGAATGTACAAAAATGTACATCCATTTCAGGAGTTCTTACTACCTCTGAGGTCCAAGGAGAGTCCATGGATCTCATATAAAGAAGATCCTGTTCCAGGAGGAGCCAGGGAAGAGGGGGCTCCACCAGAACCCCAGGAATTAGCCAGGCTCCTGACCTCTGCTCATCACATTCGCTGGAGGGCCCTCTAAGCTCCCACTGATGATCCCCATCCTGACTCCTGTCTTTTCCTCCAGCGCCACCAGAGCTGACACTTATTCCTGCTAAATCCTTTGACAAACATGGGCTTGCTGGCCTGGGGCTTACTAGGAAGAATGAAACAGCTCTGATAAATACCACACCAGGGTTTCCAGCCCTGTCCACAGTTGGGGCCACTGATGTTCCTTCCTGTGGGTCTGGACAGGATTTGGGAGTACACAGGAAGCTGGGCACATCCAGGTGTGGAGGAGGGCTCTGGGTGGACCTGGAGGATCTGATGGCTCGATGTGCTTCCCCCTGCCTGCAGGCGACAGGCAGGCTGCACTCAGCACTCAACCCAACAATGTTGAGTCTGCAATATGACTGGGTGGTGAACATTGCCCAGGTGCCTGGTGAGCATCACTGAAAAGGGGACCATGACCATCTGGAATGGGCCATCTCCTAGCTGTATGTCCTTGGGCAAGTCACTGAACCTCTTAGGGTCTCCATCTATTCATCTGTAAAACAGAGATAGTAATGGGAACTATCTCACTGGGTATAGGTGAGAGCTGAAGAGAAAATAGAGGTTAAAGCCTTAGCATAGTGCCTGGCAGAGTGAATGCTCAATAAACAATGACTATACTAGGTAACAATTACTACTGTTGCTGCTACTACTACTATTAATGCTATTATTATTGTAGCCCCTAATAAATCTTCAGATAACTGAGAAAAGGCTATTTTATTTAATCTCAAGTGCTGGGAACCTACCCAAATCACTCGAAGTAATGATTCTAAAGATACTTCTGAAGCATCTACAGCAGGGGCTCTGAGTGCCTGCATCACAACCTCTAGGTCCACCTCTGAATCCCGCTGCACTGGTGGTGGACAGTCCTGGGTACCCAGACAGCCTCCACCTCTACTGCCCACCAAATCTCTGCCTTTATGCCTCAGAAGCCAACAAACTTCTGTAGCTGGAGTAATGGCAGATGTAGCTATGGGAATAGGAGACAGAGGACACACATGAGGGTGGACGATGGAGGAATTGGTGGCAGATGCTATAGGCTCCTGATTTCAAAGATCAAGTCTGAGGCTCGATCTACACGAATCCCTGGCAGGACCGAGAGCCAGCTGCCCACAGCAGTAACCAACACACTGATACACTTGTTTGGGCATTTCTGCCTTCTCGGTGTCGTTATCCTTCCCTCTCCCTTGCAGGGGACACCTCCCAGGTAAGCCAGCAACCGAGTCATAGGCTCTGCTTTCAGGGGAACCCAGCCAAGACACACATCCAGCATGCCAAGTCCTGGGGGAGACCCTCAGCATGTGACACTCGGTGTGTTACTTTTCACAACAGCTCTAGACATACATTCCCTTTGTCTGTATTTTACAGATGAGAAAAACGGAGATTCAGAGAGGTAAAGCAATTTGCTCAAAGCCACACATCTAGGAAGTACAAAGGCTGGATTTGAATCCAGACATCTGACTCCAGAGCCCAATCCATATACTCCTGATGAGGAAAGTGGGGAGGAGACACAAGTATTGCTCCCAATATCCCCTGCATCCATCTAGCACTTGGACTACAAACTCAAACACTTCCAGGTAGCCAAAGAACTAATGTTAATATGTTATAGCCACTCAGGAGCAATAGCAGGTGGTGGGGAGTGTGGTAAACACAAAGTGGATCCCCATGTAAAGGAACAGCCACTTGGGCTGCCTCCATAATTTGCCTATTGTAAATAATAATGCAATAAACATAGGGGTGCATATATCCGTTTGAATTAGTGTTTTCATATTCTTTGGGTAAATAGCCAGGAGTGTAATTACTGGATCATTGGGTAGTTCTATTTTTAATTTTTTGAGGAATCTCCATACTTGTCTTCCACAGTGGCAGCCCAAGTGTCCATCAATAGATGAATGTATAAAGAACGTGTGGTGTATATACAATGCAATATTACTCAGCCATAAAAAAGAATTAAATCTTGCCATTTGTAACAACATGGGTGGATCCAGAGAGTGTAATGCTAAGTCAGAGAAACATGTAATACTGGATGATTTCTCTCATAAGTAGAATTTAAGAAACAAAACAAACAAAGGGAAAAACAAAGAGACATACCAAAAAAACAGACTCTTAACTATAGAGAACAGTTACGGGGGGGGGGGCGGTGAAATAGTTGAGGGGGGTTAAGAGTACATTTGTCCTGATGAGCACTGAGCAACGTATGGAGCTGCTGAATCATTATATTGTGCACCTGAAACTAATATAACACTGCACCTTAATGACACTGTAATTAAAATTAAAAAAAATAAAAAATAAAAAAAGGAGCAGCCACAACTCTTGAGAGGGAGGGCCTTCCAGCACACACGGGGCCATCAGCTCCAGACAATTGTTGCCAGGTGGGAATGTCAACCCAGCATTGCCAGAGCTGACTTTTCAAAAGAGAAGAGAAACCTGGGTTTTTATATTTAAATGAGGTGGCAATTGATAGGAAAACACGCTAAGTAAAAACCCATCTTTGGGCCACTTATAGTACAGGGGCCAGTTTGTGGGCTCCCATCTTCCAGGACTGGCCCTGGCACCACCCATCCCCCACTAGAGAGAAAGAAGGGAGTCCTTTTGGGGCAAACGGCCCCAGAGCCCCAGCCCAGCGGAGCGGCGATCACTTTACCTGCGTTGTGTTCGTCCATCGAGAAGGCCTTGTTCTCCATGTAGGTCCGCGGCAGCTGCACGTCTTCCTCAAACGCCGTCTCCCGCATCCTCGGCTGCGACGTGTCGAAGTAGTTGGGTGTGTTCTCCTGCGGGGCCGGCAGAATGGTGCAGTGGATTTCAGGGATGGCATGGAAGATGACGAAGACCCAGCCGCTGGCCACCAGTGTGATGGCCAAAGTGGGGTCGCCCCAGGCATCTCCGTGCCGCAGCTCAGCGTTGCCAAAGAGGTACATGGTCATCCAGGCCACCCAGATGAGCACAGAGAGGAAGGCGGTGACCAGGATGCAGGCCCCGTTCTGCTTCCACTTCTTGAACTTGCCGCACAGCGTGAAGAGCGCCAGCCCCAGGGCGGCCACAAGCAGTACCATGTCGTAGATGAGGGCCATCACGAAGTCCATGGGCTCGTAGGCGCAGGCGGGCTTCGCGTCGCGCAACACGGTCAGCACCAGCCACTCGATGGCGATGATGACCTGCACTAGCATCAGGCACAGCGCCACGCCCACCAGCTGCCAGCCGGACGGGCTCTTGCCGTGGCGCACCAGCCTCCGCACGCGCCACGCCTGGCTCAGCAGGCAGGAAAAGCAGAGCGCAAAGAGGACGCCCCAGAGGAACCTGCGCACCGAGCAGATAGTCTCGTCCTCCCGGATGATGAAGGCGAACGTCAGCCCGAAGAGGCCCAGGGTCCCCAGGAGGAAGAGGAAATGGAGGCCCACGGGGTCCTTCTTCTCCTTGTCCTTGATAAATGGCAGCCGCACCAGCAGGATCAGCATCAGGAGCAGCGTGATCAGGGCGCCCGCCCCGGCCACCGCCTCCACCACGATGCCCCAGATGGTGTCCAGGTCGCAAAGGGACACGTACTGAGGGAGGAGATCCAGTCCGCAGCCCCGGGAAGTGCTTGCGTTCTCAGAGGCCCCGGAGGCGATCACGAAGAGCAGGAGGAAGGCGAGCACGTGGTGGGTTCTCATCTTTCTCTCTGACACCAGAAACGTCCGGAATATTGAGGATGGGGGAGAAAAAGTTTAGAGGGAGAAAAAGACCAATTCATTGTCAGATTCCCACTTTCCTGACTTCTTTTTAAGACCCACCTCTTAAACCTGCTAGCCCGTAAGTTACCTCTGACAGGACAGAAAAAGGCACCCCTTTCTCCGGACAGCACAGCCCCTGGAGTGGGGGTGGGGTGCAGGACCTAGATTTCAGCTCCCATCTGCCGCCTTGGTCAGGCGCAGTGAACAATCATGAATCATCACTGCTAGTGGTTGGAGAAGAGGGTGAGAGAGAGATTCACTCTCTCTGTATACTCTTTTGTATTCTTTGATTTTTATATTCTGTGCTGTGTCTGACCTCTTCAAAAATGAGGGAATGAAAACAAAACTTTAAACAGACAGCCATGAGACTAACACTGTGCTGAGAATGGTATGCACTGACTCCTTTCACTCTCTCAATGGTAACGGCTAGTATTTACCCATGACTTTACCCACTTGAAGCCAGGCACTAGGCACATCCCGTCTTACCCTGGTGACAAAACAGGGTCTCCGAGAGGTTAGGACACTCGCCCAAGCTCCTAGAAGCATGCCCTCATTTCAAACATAGCATATCCAAAATGAACTATTTTCCTGGTTTCCCCCTCTCCCTCTCCCCTCAGACCTCCCCCAAAGATCTCCAGAGATCCCATCCTCACTGCACCTCCGTCCGTCTATCCCCAGGTGCCTGCAGAATCCCCCTTGGTGCTTTTTCTGGACTCCACACAGCAGCCACAGCAAATGGGCTTAACCCAAGTCCCATCTTGCCCCTCCTGCTCCTTCTGCTTAAACACTCCTGACCCCTTTGAGTGGAAAATCGCCCCCCTATCTCCCTGCCCATGTCACCCTCTGAGACCTTGGCCAAGGTCACAGCCCCATCTCTCTTCACCAGAGCCTCTTGTCTATTTCTCTCTTTGCTCTAATCATCTCTGTATTTTCCCCCCTTGGCTGTGTGTTTCTCTCATTCTCTTTTTCCTCTTTTCCCTGCCTTTCTCCACTGCAAGATGCCGGAGCACAGGGACACTGCCTAGATCATCAGGGTAGACCAGGGTTTCTCAACCTTGGGATCCCTGACACTCTGGGTCTGACCATTCTTTGCTGTGAGGGCTCTCCTGTGCATCGTAGGATATTCAGCAGCACCCTTAGCTTCTATCCACCGGATCCCCATAGCACACCCAGTCCCCCAACTGTGACAACCCCAAAATCTTTTGATGCTGCCAAATGTCCCCTGTGGGGGTAGGGATGCAAAATCGCCATGATGAACCCACTGGTGGACTGAAGCACTAGCACACAGTGTGGCACAAAGTAGATGCTTAGTAAATGTTGAATGAACGACAGACTTATTCACTAGGACTCTTTCCTCTACCCCACTGCCACCAGCTCTTGCTTTTGGAGGGAACCTGGCCTTCAGAAAGTCATGACCTACACAGCTCTGCTCTCATGGTCATTTCCAGGGTGCCCAGGCTGGACCTACTGCCTTAGCTGCACAGGAGTGAGGCTGTAACCAGCCACCTCCAGATAGCTCCGCTCATCCCTGGGGCTTCCTTAAGTAAATGCAGCATCGACCATCTCTCTCTCTCTCTCTCTGCTCCTTTACAGGATCCCATGAGCAGCACTGATCCTGCCTTGGCCGTGAAGCCATTGACTGGGATAAATTATTGATGACGCTGAATGAGTAGCCTGGTGCTATAGGGATCATCACCTCTGCCTATAGATGAGAGAAGGCAGGCCCAGAACAGAAGGCATCTGGCAAGAGACCCTTCTTAAACATGCATCCCAGCATCCCACTCAAGCAATTTAGGGGTGAGGATGCACGCCCGGGGTTGGCAGTCAGAGTCATGGTCCGGCCACTATTCATCCAGCCAGTTAACTTCCCTTTTTTGTATTAAGCCAGTTTGAGCTGGGTTTGTGTTACTTGCCAACAAAGAAGTTCTATGATTCCTCCCACATCATGTGGCCTCCTTCTTCCAGGATGTCCTCCCTCCCCAGCATCTAGGCATGTGGATGCAACCAATGGCAGCCAGAAGTTTTAGTGCGATCCAGCTGCCTTAAGTGGATTGTTATCATTGTCAAGGGTGCCCATGAGGGGACAGCCACCCCACTCTACAGAACAATGTCTAGGATGACCAGGAGGGCCACACTCTGCCTGAGAATGAAGCAGACTCTGGCTCAAGTAGGATCTCTGGGGGATTCAGAATTACCCTCCAGAGTTTTCATTTCTGCCATAGTGACAACAAGAACTAACGCATAGTGCTTGCAATACCATAGGCACAGTCTTATGAACTTCACATTTGGTAATGACTTGCAATCTACACAATGACACTACACGGCAAAGTACTATTGTTATTTCCATTTTACAGGAAATAAAACATGGAGTTCAGCTGGCTTGTTTGAGGTCACACAGCTAGAAAGTGGTGGAGCCAGTAGGCAAACAATTGTACTATTGTTACTTGGGCTTCTCACTACAGACTGGGGCTCTAGAAATGTCACCTTGTGAGCGAGCCCTGTGCTGGCCCGTCTATCTAAATTAGGTCTTTCCTGCCCCCACTAAGCTCGATGCCAGTGCTTTTGATTTTCATCTTTGTAGCATGTGTCACAATTTCCAAATATTTTATTACCCTTTTGTTCTGTCCCCGCTCTCCCATGTCCAAGCCCTTGTCTGTCATTCTGCACAGACGCTCTAGTACTCAGCACATGGGCAGGACTCACAACCCAGCTGCTGAACAAATGAATGGACAAATATGGTCTCAAACGGGGGCACCTGGGTGGCTCATTTGGTTGAGCGTCCATGACCTGTTCGGCTCAGGTCATGATCTCACAGCTCAAGGGTTCGAGCCCCGCGTCAGGCTCTGTGCTGACAGTTCAGAGCCTGGAGCCTGCTTCAGATTCTGTGTGTCTCTCTTTCTCTCTGCCCCTCCCTTGTGTCTCTCAAAAATAAACATTAAAAAAGTTTTTAAATAGATGGTCTCAAACCCTCATGTGACCCCAGTCATTGCAGTCTTACAGAGGAAAGAACTGATGGTCTGAAAGGGTTAAGTCAAAGTTTGATCCTCAGCCTGCCAGCAGTGTTGCCTGGGAGCTTGCTAGAAATGCAGAACCACACAGGAGGGTGGGCCGAGCCCCCTGTGTTTCAACAAGCCCCCGCCGCAAGCTCCAAGTGTGTCCAGATGCTTGGGCACACAGAGGGTTGAGAAGCTCAGACATACAAGTAGCAGGGGAAGCCAGGACCACGGTGCCTGCACAATCTGCCTCACCAACCCTGCCAGAGAGCAAGCGGGTGGCACCCACTGTCAGGATACACCCATCCCGCTGCGGCAGCCACTTAGTGCTCCCCCCTCCACCCCCACCTGCATCCCCACCCCAGGGAAAGAGCAGTGCTCCAGGAATCCCAAACTGAACAATGCTAGATTAGAGGTTTCACGTCAGCCGCAGGCAAGGCGGATTGGGACGGGATGAATATATGGCAACAGACCCAAGGGACGGAGGCGTGCAGCTCCTCAAAAGGAGTAATGAACAAATGTGAGTGACTGCACAAGCCTCGGCTCACATACTAATTACCTTTGCTGCCAGCCAGGCTCCCAGAAATGTGACTCATTCAGAGGCTCTTAAATACACTATCTCTCTCTCTGTCACACACACACACTCTCTCTCTCTCTCTCACTCTCACTCTCTGTCCACCACCCCCACCCGCAGAGGGGCCAGAAGCCTCCGGCAGGTGGTGGAGCAGCACGCTCCATTTCTCCATCTCTCCACGAGCTGGGGCCTGTAGAGGCTGGAAAGAATGCAGGCAAGTTTCCTTGTGTGAGAAAGGACAGCGCTGCCTGCCTGAAGGCCACATTCGGGGCTGGTTCTCCCAGCCCTGCCCCCCATCACGCAGGGTGAACTTCCGAGTGAGCTCTTTTGGTTTCGAGTCCTGCCCCTGACACTTGCTGGTACCTGGTGACCCTGGGAGGCTGACTGGACCTTTCTTGCCTCAGTTTTCCTCATCTGCAAAATAGGGGTGTTAACAGTAGCCAACATGTGGTGTTGCGTGAGGATTAAAATGATAAGTTTTAGGACAGTAGTTGACACAGGGTATGCTGTTAAATAAACAGAAATGATTGGTAAATATTCCCTCGACTGAGGTTATTAACTTTCCTGACTGTTTTTTTCCAGGAGGAGCAGCTGCCATGGAGATGGGGGAGGAAGGCGGTTCGCCCAAGTGTTTGTCCACCACCGGTTTCCGGCCTCCTTCATCATGCCAAGCAAAGAGATCTCTGAGGCGGTGTGAAGGGGAGATGTCTTTGGTGGTAGTCTGCCCTAAGAACCTCTAAACCCAAAGCAGGTGCTCTAAGTGGAAGCCTCACTGTGAAGGAGGTTTTCCCATGGGAAGCCCAGGTCATCCTGGGTGTCCTGAAACCCCGTCTCTCTGTCAAGAAGTCAGAGGGAGGACACCCAGAGACCAGACACTGGCCATTCTCTTGGGAAACTAGCGTCCTCACCTACCCACTACCCATATGAAACGACATACAGGATGTACAATACCATTCTCAGCACACCATTCTGACTGGCCTCTCTTCAGCCACTAAGATCTAAGATCCCTTAGATACAGCAGGGATCTAAGGAGATCACTGATCCTCTACCTTGAGGCCCCTTCCAGTGTCCAGCAGATCAGAGGCATCTTAAACCTATCTTCTCTAAAGATGTGGGGAGGTGCTAGAACATGGAAGGGAAAGAAAAAGAAAACTGAGCAGGTGGGAAGGGGGCTTTCCTATTCCTGGGCATAGTTAGTAGTTCGGTACCTGCATGAATGCCTGGCACAGAATATACCCACCCATCAATCTCCTCCAGAGTAGAAGACCTCAGTAGGAGTGAAGCCAGACATAACGATGTGACATGGGGCTTTATTTTAACCTCTCTGACCCTCAGTTTCTTCCTCTATAAAACACAGATAAAGATAGTGGCTGCCTTCACAAAGCTGGTGTGAAAAGTATATGAATACTCAGCAAGGTGCTCGGCACCTTAATTGTTGGCACAATAATTGTCTTACTAAAAAGACAATCATGATTCCATGTCCTTCCTGTTGAGAAAATGGAGGTAGAAGTGAGGCAGCTTGGCCAGAGGCTTACTGGAATTCATATGCCATTTCACTAAATGGACTAAAACCCATTTCTCCCAACTCCTGACCCAGGGCCTTTCCACTGCACCTCTGATTTGAGCCCTCACCCCATGTCTGGCAGAAAGCCAGGATGAGGCTGTGGAGCCAGTCTCCCCACACACCCCAGCATTACACTGTGTCCCAGCCCACTCCCGTTACAGCTGATGGTGCATTTCCTGCCCTGTGAGATTAAACTGTTACAAGGTTTCCTGACATTAAACTCTTTCCCAGACCCACAATCTCACTGTCTGATATCTTTTCCAAGTTACACCATCTCATAATCTTCATTCCCAATGCTTTCCAGACCACCAGCCTATTTGGGGGCCCTCGAATTTAATAAGCCTCCTAGGTTAGTAAACAGGGCTGCCAGAGCACAAGCTCCGTGATCCATGAATATGCAAAGCAGCTCCAATCCTGTAAATAAAAGCAATCATTTAAATGCAAATTGCATCCTTGGCTGTCCATTCTGGGGTGGATGGTTCCTCTCAGGCAGTAATTCCGAGAAGAAAATGTGACTAACTCAGAACCCCCCCAGGAAGCTCAGCGTGAAGTGCTTACGGGGCCAAGGACTCTGGGTGGGGGCCGCTTAGGGTGCACTAGAAATACCTCAAGGAGGGGAGTGAATTTTAAAACCTGAGCCGCTCCTCAAGTGGGCTCACAGGGCAGGACAGGCTCACAGCTGTCCCCACAGGCTGTATGAAGCCCCTCAGAAGCTCCCGAGCTTCTTCATCCCCAGAGGCATTGAAAGGGGAGCTGCTTTCCATCTCCATGTGGAGGTCAGGGAGGCTTTTAAAAAATCGGATCCCTTGGCTTCCCACTCGAAATCCTCCAAGGGTTCACTGGCCCAAGGAGAATAAAACCTAGCCTCCTTTCCATGGCCCAAAAGATGGTGGTCTGGCTGGTCCCTACAATCCCCTCTCCCACTCACCCCCTCCGCATCTGCTTAAGAGCTCCAGCCACAATGGCCTTTGTTCAGTTCTAAGCTCATTCCCACCTCCAAGCCTTTGCACTTGCAGTGCCCTCTGCCTGCGCAGTGGTCCCCCAAGATCTCTCAGTGGCAGGCCCTCCACCTTGCCAGGCTCCACAAAAATATCACCCCTGAGAATGGGCTTCCATACATACACCAACACTGGCCACTTTATTTGACATCCCCGTTTTCATTTTCCTGGCAGCCCTTATCCCAATTAGAAGGTATTATCTGCTTACTATTTATTTACTTATTTAGTGTTTGTTCACCCACCTGGCCAGTCCCCTGAGAGTGGGGGCTTGTCCATTTTCTACACTGTAGTGCCCCAGACCCAGTTCTGTGGCTGGAACATTTACTGAAAGAACAAATGAAGCAATAAAGATTTTGAGCTTCTCTTTCTAACGAGGCTGCTTGCCTGCCCCAAATGGCGACTCCTTTCCCCTTCCATTTTTCTCCTTCTCAACTCAGCTGACCCCTTTTCAGACTTAGAGCAGGGAACAGATAGAAAACCCTTCACTCCGCAGCCCAGTTACAAAACTGACCTCGTGGAGGGCTCCCAACCAACAGATGATGATTTGCATTCTATTTACATGCGATTTGCATGCTGCAGAACTGGAAGTCTGAATCCTGCGAAAGCCCCCCAGCCCACCGAAGAAACTTCTGAATCAAGGTTTCTTGGCTGAAGTTCCGTGGCTTTTGTTGCCAGGCCCTTCCTTCACTTTTCCCTCACTTCTCTTGTCTTTTCGAGGACCCCCAGGTCCTCCTGGGCGCTGCTCAAGTGCTTCCCCCCCACCCCCCCACAATCCTGGCGCAGTTGGGCAGCCAGTGTGGCGCGTGGGCTGGGGCCCCAGACAGGGATGCCGCTGCCCGCCACACTCCAGGGGCCTTTGTCCGCGCTCCAAGGAGCCGCCCCCTTAGCGAACCGGGGACGAGTTGGGAGGGGGAGACTGGCCGGGCCTGAGTGTGACAGAGCAAGGGCCAGGCAACGAACTCTCAGGCTGCGCTAGGGCCGTCCTCTGTGGCAAGGTCGGCGCTGCGCTCCCAGGCTGCTTAACTAGCTCCCCCGGGCCAAGGCGGGTGCGGGCGGTAGGGATCCCGGGATGTGCGGGCCTGGTAACCTGTTTCCCCCAAGGGCAGCGAACGCACCATACATAGCACAGGGCTAGTCCTCAGCCCCAGCCTGGCCTGAACAGAAACGCCAAACCCCCGCCATTGTATGCAGCCGCCCCTCATTTGTCCCTCGGCCCCAGGTCTGTGCTCTGCCCCTTTCCCCCCGCAGTGTCCCCCCCCCTTGTCCCGTAGTGCGCAGGCACCATCGGCTGCGAGGCTGGCCCTCAGCCCCCGCGGCAGGTGCGGCAGCTCACCCCCAGAGCCGGATCCTTATGCCCCCAGCTTCGTCTGCCCTGTCTGCGGTCAGCCCCCACGCTGACCACGCGGCCCCCGGACCTGCCCGCGGCTCCCCTCACACGACGAGTTACTCGGGTACGGCTGAACTCCTTCTCACTACTCCCAGCTGCCCTTTACCTGTGGTGGCCCCCAGACCCCCGTCAGAGCCTTGGATCTCCAGCTGGTCCGGGTACACAGCACCCCCCACCAAGGTCTCCAGCCCTCCCCTCCCCCCGCCCCGCCCTCTGCGTCTCTTCTCCCGCCGCACTGTGGTTCCCCCCACCCTCTACCCCCATCTCCCCCAGCCGACTAACCCCCTGGGGGTGCTCAGAAGGGCACAGGAAGCAGACTCCCACTTCTCCCAAGTCCACGGCGGGAAAAGTTTTTGGGGTCCTCCAAGCGCCCTCCACCCCGTCGGCGCGGCTTGCACTCACCGACTCCCGCGGCCACGCAGCGCCGACGCTCCTGCTGGTTCTCGGCCTCAAGTCACATCTCTGCAGCGCGGCTGCGGCCCCCGCCCCGCGCGCCCGCCCGCCGGCCCCGTCTCACTGCATCGCCCGCGCGAGCCGCTGCCGCGCGAGGCGCCCCCTGGCCGGGCGCTGGCTGCTGCAGCCGCGGCGGCCCCGCCCCCGGCCGGCCCCGCCCCCGGGGCGCCCAGCTCCGCCCCTTGCTCCTGCCCCTCACGGTCTTTCTCCCTGAACCCCATGCCGATTGCGCTGCGCCTCTCCATCCTCTCCACCCATGTAAGCTCCTAGCTCCTTGCCCGGAGCGCTGAGAAGACTCCCTTCCAGTGTCCCAAATTTGGGGATACATCCGCCACATCCACGGTGCGCCCACAAGCAGTCCAGACGCACCGGACATATCCCCAAGTTGATTCATTTGCAGGAACACATACATACACAGAGGGATACTCCAACGAGTGTTCTAGCGCAGGGGATTTCCTCCGTCAAGACACTCTCCAACGTGGGTTCACAAACAGTAACTTCCCCACAAATTACAAACACCCGGTCCTGGACGCAAGGAGATCCTGGAGCTCGAGTCCCGAAGTACACAACCAGGCACACGCGCGCGGCTTGGTCTCCTCTAGCTGGTAGAAACGCAGCCTTCTCCCGCCTGGGCGCACTCCGCTGCCTCCCCACCCCCACCCCCAAACGTCCCAACGTGTCCTTGTCCCTTTGCGCACACTGCTCAACCCTTGTGTCCTTGGCTACCCCAAACATACACTTTCACATTGTGCACCCCTCACGTAGGTCCTTACGCCGGATCCCCACCACGAACGCTGCACACATCATCCACGTACACCCACGGTACACACTCAACTGCCTGTGGCCACTGGCCTTGCGCTCCGCAGACTCTCAGGGCACAGTCGGGATGCACGCCCACAGGACAGCCCCAGCACGGGCTGGAAGGAGGGGTACCAGCCAGGCTTGTCCCTGGGCACTGGAGTCTGGCTCCTAGTCCACCCGGCTGTCGGAAATCAGCATTACCCAGATGGGGCCTGGGAAGCTGCAGTCCAGCACACCCACGGTGTGTGTGGTTCCCTGGGTGACTTTCAGAGTTTCAAGCACCCTGCCCCAACCCAGAACTTTGAGGACGCCCCATTCCGGCTTCTCAGAGCGAGACCACCTCCCTCCACCCCAAGACACTGCAGGGAGATGACCCCTGCTCCCCACCTCCCTGCAGTGGGGTGGGGATAGGGAGGCAGGAAGGTGGGGAGAGCCTCTGGCCTCTCAGTTCTTCCCCAGACAAGCCGATTTTCTCCTCGTCAGGCCACGTACGCATCTCCACGAATACCTTTCATTATTTTTAAGGAAAAATGGAAGGGAAAGGCAGAACATTTTTCCTGTCTTATTTGCCGACGTATCTTCAGCACCTAGAACAATGCCAGGCATTCAGCACCTAGAACAATGCCAGGCATTCAGCGGGCGATCTTTAAATATTTACGGAAGACCCCTCTTCTGCGTTCCCGAGAACTGCGAAATTGGAAAATAGATAGGCACTGCCACTTGGTGGTACTTAATGGAACTGACACCGAGATCCTTTCCGGTGTAAACATGGGCCAAGTTCACCTTTCTAAACCCCAATTTCTTGCAAAATGTGAAATGGACACAACTTTAGCAGTACGTGCCTATTGGGGTTGTGAAGATTAAACACATAATACATGTAAAGTGATCCATGTAGAGTCTGGCATGTTGATATATATATATGGTTATATTCCCTTTTCTGGCTTATTTTACAGAGGGACTCTCACTGATAGATTAGCTTTCAGTGATGATACTTTGGGAAACAATGTGTGAAAAAGGAGGCTATTGAGTTGCAGGTACATACTCTCCACCCCGCCACCCCTTGTTCAAGGAGTCATGGATAATCATCATCACCATCATGATAAGAGTGCTACTGTGTGCCAGGCACTGTTCTAAGTGCTTAACGTTTTTTAAAATATTGAATCTTCCCAGTAATCCTCTGGACCAGATATTATTATTCATCCTGAGTAAGAGATGGACACACTGAGGCCTAGCGGGGTTAATTACCAGTTCATGGTCATACAGTTGACAGAGATAGAGGTCAACCCAGTTTGTTTCTTTCATCCAGTGGCTAAACTGGTGTAATGTGTTGCAAGGTCAGACATCTTCAGAGATGAGCTTCATGTCCCTGAAGGCTCCTTCAGTCTCAGGCCTTGGAGAGACCAACTCTAGGAGGTAGAGGGAGCTGTGTCAGGCTCTCAAATGTTCAGTCCCCTTTGGACAAATGAAAAACAAGGCTTCCTTGGCTCTATTCCTCAATTGAAAAATGACAGGAGGACTGCCCCTGGATTCCCACTGACAAATGTCACAGTGTTAATTAGGTGTTTGTGTGGCTCTTTGTTTAGTGTCTGCTGCCCAGCTAGATTTTACCTCAGTGTTGTCCCAATAAGAACTTTCTACTATGATGGAAGTGTCCTATATCTGTGCTGTCAGGTATGGTAGCCACTAGACAATGTGGCCATTGAGCATTTTATGTTACTAGTATGTCTGTGGGAATGAAATGTCAGTTTTTACTTAAATTTTAAATGGAATTTTAAAAACTCAATTTTAAATGCCCTCGTTTGGGTAGTGGCTATTGTAAGGACAGTGTAGCTCTAAGCTTAGTGAGAGCAGGAGCCATGTCTGCTGCTCACCCTTGTATTCCTTGCCCAGCACAGGGCACAGCTCATCAGGTACTTGTTGACTACGTGAGTAGGTAAATTCCAGCCTTGTTTCTCCTGTTAGAGTGTCTATTCCATATCCAATCCTGTCAGGATTCACTTTTCTCTGCAAAGTAGATCAACTCCCAGATGAATGTCCTGCTCAGGGCTCTGGAGTTGCCAAAGCCCATTTTCATGGAACGTGTCGCTTTAACAACGGAATCTTCTGTGTTAAGTGTCTGTACCTTGCTGTGACAAAACCGAAGTGACTTCTCGACAAAGTCGAGTGACTTCTCCAAGTTCTCACAGCTGGTAAGTGGCAGAGGCAGGGTGCAAGCCTAGCCACCCATGCTCTTCTCACTCTACCCCACTGACTTGCAAGTGAAGTTTCTGGAAACATCAACGTAAGTCTAAGGATGAATGACTTTAAATGATGGGGATTCAGGTGCCTGGTAGGGTGAAATTTCAATACTTCTCTAATAGCCTCAGGCAGGCAACTGCCTGAATATTGAACCCTGATTGTGTCACTAACGCTTGCCTTGGATGCCTTCTAAGTGCCATGCTCTTTGCCTCATTCTGTCATGGTTCATAGACGGACATGAGGCAGGTCCCTCTATCAGCAGAGTGTGAGAGGTGGTTAGCACAAGGTGTTGTGGGAGGGCCTCCTAATTAATGGAGTCATGGGGATCCTTGCTGGGCAAGCTTGAGAGGAGGCTCAAATTCCCCAGAGACGCCAGCACCTGATTTTCCTTCTGGAGTGGCAATGGGGGACACTTCAGGCCATCGACATCTCTGGGCATCGACATCTTTGGAGTGAGCGGCTAGGAAAAAACAAATGTGGATACACCACTGCTACCATTCTATTATTTTGTGCCTGTGACATACATCACTGATTACCACACTGCTTTTAATTTCTTTGGTCTATAACTTATGCCACTCGTTACTGGAAGATTCAGTCACTGTTGCAAAGAGCACATAATTTATTTCCAGAGTCCCCAACAGGGTACATCAGAGATGTTCACAAATCAGAGTGTCAGCTGCAATCACAGGTGGTAGCCACCTGTTCTTCTTTTCCTGTATTGGCTCCCACAGGTCCTTCCTTGTCTGTGGTCTATAAAACGGCTTGGGGTAGTCTTATGATGATCCCTGTGGTCCCCTGTAAGGCTGCCATAGGGATAATATCCCAATGCCCCCAAAGCTGTCAGTAAGGAAACATGCAAGTAACAGAACAAAAGATGGCCTAAACAATAGGGATTTTTGTTATCACACAGTAAGTTGAGATATGGGTGATCTCACTGTTGATTCATGGCTCAACAATGTCAGCAAGGGCCCAGCTTTTTCCAGCCTTCTACTTTACTATTCTCAGCTTAGCACCTCATAGTCACAAGATGGTTGCCACAGCATCGAGCATAAAGTCTTCACCTGATGGTATCCAAATGTAGGACAGAAGCTATTCAGGAAAGAGAGCTCCCCTCATGACCTCCCTGTTACCCAGGAGAGAAATCATTCCCAGAACTACCTCCTCCCCCTCCCTTCTCCCAGCTATAGGCTTCCTTTTACATTTCATTGGCCAGGACCAGGTTACCTAGCCTCCCCTAGTGCAAGGGAGGCTGGAAATCGAGCACCTGGTGCACAGAGACTCAGTAAAGAAAGGTGTGTCTCTTCCAGGTAAGGAGCCATGCACGTTCAGGGTGTCAGCTAGCTACCCAGGAAAGGGGCTTCCAAGCTTCTTTCACCATCATGCCTCAGAGGGATCAGACCCAGTCCCAGGGCTGGATGGGATATAGGTGCTCCCACTTTCCTCCTCTCTCTCTAGTTTTTCCTGAAGCAACTTCACTTCCACAAAAGCAACTCTCTTCTCTCAAGAAAAGAGTCTGCTTCACCATTTCACTGCTAGAGGATGCCTTCCCATGTACCCAAAACAAAGGAATTATTTACTGCTAAAGGCAAAATCAAGAGCCAACAAATGCTGTATGATCTCACTTATATGTGGAATCTTAAACAAACAAACAGGGGCACCTGGGTGGCTCAGTCTTTCAGTGTCTGACTCAATTTCAGCCCAGGTCATGATCTCACTGTTTGTGCTTTCAGCATGGAATCTGCTTGGAATTCTCTCTTTCCCTCTCCCTCTGCCCCTCCCCTGCTCACAGGCTCTCTCTCTCCCTGTCTCTCTCTCTCTCTCAAAAATAAATAAACTTAAAAAAAGAAAAAAAACAAAAACAAACAAAAACCAAAAAATAAACACATAGAAAAAGAGATCAGATTTGTGGTTATAGGAGGCAGGGATTGAGGGAGGGGGGAATGGCTGAAAGTGGTCAAAAGGTACGAACTTTCAGTTATAAATAAGAATTGGGGGATGTAATCTACAACATGATGACTACAGGTAACACAGCTGAATGA